CTGTAAATGATTAGAGTAATAACCAGTTCATAACCTGTAAATGATTATAACCTGCAAATGATTATGTTAACAAACAGTTAATGACCAGTAAATGATTGTTAATAAACAGTTAATAACCTGTAAATGATTATGTTAATAAACAATAACTGGTAAATGATTATGTTAATAAACAGTTAATAACCTGTAAATGATTGTTATTAAACAGTTAATAACCTGTAAATGATTATGGTAATTAACAGTTAATAACCTGTAAATGTTTAGGTTATTAAACAGCTCATAATCTGTAAATGATTGTTATTAAACAGTTAATAACCTGTAAATGATTATGGTAATTAACAGTTAATAACCTGTAAATGTTTAGGTTATTAAACAGCTCTTAATCTGTAAATGATTGTTAATAAACAGTTAATAACCTGTAAATGATTATGGTATCAAACAGTTAACCTGTAAATGATTATGGTAATAAACAGTTAATAACCTGTAAATGATTATGGTAATTAACAGTTAATAACCTGTAAATGATTATGGTATTAAACAGTTAATAACCTGTAAATGATTATGGTAAATAACAGTTAATAAGCTGTAACTTATTAGGTTAATAAACAGTTAATATTGTGTAAATAAGAGTTTTCACGGATCAGAGCTGACCCTTTGAGTCGGCTGCTGGTTCGGCCTCGGCTCTGATCAAATCTTCAGAGAAACGACGACGCTGGATAGATTAAAGTAGCTCCATTAATTTAGAGAAACCTGCTGAAATCTTACTCTCCTATTCAACATTTTTCAATCAGGTTTCAATCATGACCTGATTGAAAAATGTTGGATTGTATACCTGGATTATTGAGCCTGGACTTTAGTCTTCCTCTCGTACTTTTAACTTTTATTCAATAGAACTTTTAATTTGCCTTTAGCTGCTTTTAGCTTTTTTGACTGCTGAACAACCGGAGAACTCTCCAGATCTTTTGAAAAGTGCAGTTTACATGTTTCTCAGCAAACTTTCTGCTTTTGCAGCTGTTGTGTTTATTTAGCTTTTAGCTACTGTGATGCTAGTTTTAGCTTTTGTTCAGATCATCTTTAGCTTCTTGGACACGTTTAGCAGCTGTTCAGCTCTCAGGACATATTCTTACAGAAAACGTTGTCTTTGAAATATTAAAACATTGACATAGTGTTTTTTCTTTCGTCTGTATCTGTTTTTAGTTTCGATCGAGGGTACGAGACGTTCTTCCTGAACTTCCTGCGCAGCACGACCACTTCCTGCTACGCTGGCTACGAGGTCAGAACCGTCAGACTCACAGAAAAAACTAAAAGTCCAATCATCCTTCAGCTTCAGGAAATCTGATCACTTTCTGATGTGAGCTTGAGCTGCACCGGTTTTTCACGTGAAGCTGGACCGGAGCGGCCGCGCCTCAGACCTGACGTCCAGGTTCTGGTGGGCCCGTCGGGCTGTGCAGGAAACACGACGCTGACGCAGCTCTGCTCCAATAATCTGTTCAGACTAATCCAGAGATAATCTCATTAAACACAGCTGAAACTTGTCAGCTGCTCCTTCCTTCAGCTTTCTGGACTTTACAGATCCAGACCGGACCAGTGGGCACAACGGTCACTTTTTAAAAGGGCGATAATGTTTTTATCCACGTCGTGTTAGCAAAATATGTCATGAAGCACCCTGGACGTATTTCAGAGAAACTCGGCTTCAGTGGACGAACGTCTACGTCTGATTAACATTTGGAGGCAACCCAACTCAAGATGGCCGCCACAGCTACCTGACATTAGCAGCACGGCTGAGTCTCCTGAGCTGCAGTTTGGTGTGGTAGTAGTTGAGAGTCATCCAGTATGAATTCAGTCCTGCATCACGTTATAACAGGAAGCTGAAGAAGATCAGCGTCCTTCAAGGACACGTGTTCCTCTGAGTATAAAAGACAGGATAGGGAGCTTGTCTTCAGTAATGAGGGTGTTGCTCCAGTCGATGGGGGTGAAGAAAGAGTTGAGTTTAAAGGCAGAGCTCTGGATTTACTGGTCTGTCCAACCCTCAACTGTTGTCTTAAGGTTTGGATCAGGACTAAAAAAGCCAGATCCTTGATCCAAGCAGCTGAACTGGTCTTCTGTAGGCTGGGGGGGGGGCTCAGCCTTAAAGACAGGGTGAGGAGCTCCGTCATTGGGGGTGGGGGGTGGAGCTGCTCCTCCTATACATCTAAAGGAGTCAGCTAAGGATGTTCATTTGATCTGGACCTACGTTTAGAGGTTTTCTGGGCCCATCCTACCGGCACGAGACCCTGGGGCAGACCCAGAACGCTGGAGGATTATAGATCCTCTCTGGTCTGGACCATCTCAGGGTCCTCCAGCAGTGTCCCTGGGGAGAGGCAGGTCTGGGTTTCTCTCCTGGATCTGGTTCCTCGGCGACCCGACTACAAATTAGAGGCAGAAGACGGAGATTTTCTGGATAAATGTGCAAATTGCTGAAATTAATTATTTACTGGACATTGGAGGCGGAGTCAGTGTGAACCTGAAGTCATTATTGGACATTGGAGACGGAGTCAGTGTGAACCTGAAGTCTTTATTGGACATTGGAGGCGGAGTCAATGGGAGCCTGAAGTCTTTATTGGACATTGGAGGCGGAGTCAATGTGAGCCTAAAGTCTTTATTGGACATTGGAGGCGGAGTCAGTGTGAGCCTGAAGTCTTTATTGGACATTGGAGGTGGAGTCAGTGTGAGCCTGAAGTCATTATTGGACATTGGAGGTGGAGTCAGTGTGAGCCTGAAGTCTTTATTGGACATTGGAGGCAGAGTCCCTGTGAGCCTGAAGTCATTATTGGATATTGGAGGCGGAGTCAGTGTGAGCCTGAAGTCTTTATTGGACATTGGAGGTGGAGTCAGTGTGAGCCTGAAGTCATTATTGGACATTGGAGGTGGAGTCAATGGGAGCCTGAAGTCTTTATTGGACATTGGAGGCGGAGTCAATGTGAGCCTAAAGTCTTTATTGGACATTGGAGGCGGAGTCAGTGTGAGCCTGAAGTCTTTATTGGACATTGGAGGCGGAGTCCCTGTGAGCCTGAAGTCATTATTGGACATTGGAGGTGGAGTCAGTGTGAGCCTGAAGTCTTTATTGGACATTGGAGGCGGAGTCCGTGTGAGCCTGAAGTCATTATTGGACATTGAAGGTGGAGTCAGTGTGAGCCTGAAGTTTTTATTGGACATTTTTATTGGACATTGGAGGCGGAGTCAATGTGAGCCTAAAGTCTTTATTGGACATTGGAGGCGGAGTCAGTGTGAGCCTGAAGTCTTTATTGGACATTGGAGGTGGAGT